CTGTGTCAAGTGTCACAAATCTGCCAGTTCACAGCTGAAACAGTTGAAATTAGACTTCACGTGTTTACCCAGTTGTACTGTGGTAGTGAGGGCTTACGCTGTTGAGATGGGTCCACACAAGTCTATACAGGGGTGGAAGGTACTCAAAGTCTGCGGACCCCTTATGCCTGTGCCTAGGCAAAGGAGCTGTGCCAACCCTGAGTTCCTGGCTTAGAGGAGCCAGTAGCTTTTTTTTTTTCCCGTTTGTTAATTTGTTCCCTCTCCAAGGCCAGGATAATGGGTCAGGGCGCCTTATGGGATCTACTTCCGGCCCAGAGGACTCAGAGACTTCAGAAGCCTCCGGACCAGTGCAGAGTGGGGAGGGAGGAGGTAAAAGGGAGAGAGGTTTTTCCCAAATGGGCTTTTTTTTTTTTAAATCCCCGCAAAAGGCCACACGCACGTATTTATCTTTAGCAACTTGGGAGCCGCTTTTCACTGGTTCAGAGTGTCCAAGCAGAATCTCTGCTGCTGGATCTCTCTCGATGTGGAAACTGCCTCCCAAGCACGTGCGCGGAGCTGTATGCCCACTTTACTGCGCACCCTGGGCTGGTCGGGGCTGAAGAGCTTCGGCTCCCGCCAAGTCCAGTCCGGCACTCCTTGCTTCTTCTGAACCGTCTCCCTCTCCCCCACCACTCAGTCCGATTCCTCAACTTTGCCTTGTTCAGGGCTCCTAGAGATTCATATACAATCCAATCACTTGTTTTTCCAGGTCTTTGTTGTAAGAGGGATATAGGAAGCCATCTGACTACTCCACCATCTTGGCTCTCCCTCCTCTGTTTATTATTTAAGGCCCTTGATCTACAGTACAAAATTGATCTGCAAAAAATGGGGCCACCCGCCAGGATTCTGGTTTTCCCCACATCCTTGACATCTCTGGGTTCCACTTCCTGCCAAAGTAAAAAAACCTACTTTGCATGAGGAGAGCAAAAAACCCCAAAACACTAGAAGAGGAATTTTGTGGCTTACTGGACTTGTTTCAGATCAGTCGGGCGTGGGGGTGGGGGAGAATGCGGGGACAATAGGTAAAGTGTTTGGGCAGGACTAGTGGGGGGTTAGCTCCCTCTAAAATACCTTGTGTTCTGCAACCTTGCTAAACTCACTTCTTCCTTCCTGAGGAGCTGCTTTGGAGATTGCATCAGATTTTCTGCATAGGCCAATCATGTTGACTGCAAATAAAGGCAGTCTTACATCGTCCTTTCCAGTCTCTTCTTTCGTTGATTGATTTCTCTCCCTGTTATGGGTTGGCTTTTCCTGCTTCTCTGTAGGCCTGGTTACTTCAGTTTGGATGTGAGACATGGTGAATTTTACCCGGGGTACCTGATATTTTTGTCTTGTTCCAGTATGGTCTTAAGATTATTGGAAACAGTATGTTCCTTTCGAGTGTTGCTTTTAAGATTTGCTCCGTGGGACCAGAGCGGCTTTCAGGGTAGCACGAATGTTTCCTCACTGCTGAGGCGAGACCGTGCTGAGTACTCTACCCTATGGCTCCTGGATCCTGAGGTTTCCCAGTCCTGGGGGGGAGGGACAGATGCGATTCCTCGTCCTGCTGGAGCCCCGCTGGGCGCGGTTACCACCGTTAACCCTTTCTGGTGGTCCTTTCCTTGGCCTCTCGGCGTCTCCTCAGGCATGTGCCCATCAGGACTCTGCTGCATACTCAAGGGGACCCTCTGCCCATCATCTCCAGGGTTCTCTCCCTCTGCAGCTCTTGGTCTGCGGGACACGGGGCTTTACAGACCAGACTTGAGTCTGACCCTCCCTCCCGCCCTCGCCCTGCAAAGCCCAGAGGCAATCTGCCTCCTTGGCCTCAAAGATGGACCGCTGAAGCTGCTGGGCTGTCTTCAAACAAGTCAGGTCTCAGGTCCCATCGTTCCTCTTTCCCAAACCCTCCAGCGGGCTCCCACCTCACCCAGAGGCAAAACCAGAGCCTTCCCAGGGGCTCCCAGAGCCCAAAGTGGTCCCGCCCCTTTCCTCTCTGGCCTCCCTCTCGCCCACTCTCCCCCTTGCTCACTCTGATCCAGCCACACTGGCCTCCTCGCCCTTTCTGAAACAACCCAGCCCACTCCCACCTCAGGACCTTTGCACGGCCTTTTTCCTGTCTGCAACTCTCTTCCCCCGGGGCTCACCTGGCTCACTCCCTGACCTCCTCCAGATCCTTCTCAAATGTTCCCCCTCAGCCAGCCTTTCCTGGCCACCCTATTTAAAATTGCATGCCACCCACCCCCCACCCCTCATTGCTCATCTGCCCCCCTCCCCCACAGTATCCCCAGCTCCTGGAACAGTGCCTGCCTGGCACAGAGTAGCCCCAGACACCCTCGCTCCTTAATCAGACCATGGTCTCTCTCACCAGGCTTGTCAGATGCCGTTCTCTTGACGAGGATCCTTCCCGGCTTGCCCTGCTGCCCCCCACCTGTGCCCCACTTGAACAGGTGTGGGGTCAAGAGGTAGGTAGGTGCATCACGATAGGAGAGACACATGGGACAGTAAGGAGTTGCCAGCGTGTAAGGAGTGTGGGTGCATTTGAAGGTGCTGGAGGGTTTTGAGCAGAGTGGCGACCTGATTTGCCTTATATCTTAACAGGATCCCTCTGCCTCCCTCGTTGAGAATAGGCCAAGGGGAGCCCCCGGGCAGAATGTTAGTGTGCTTGGCACTGTCCCAAGAGGGACACACGTTTACAGTGGGAAACAGTGAGGTGGAGTCAAATAAACAGATGTTTGGGGTATGTCATGGGTTGAATTGTGTCCCCCAAAAAACGTGTGTAGCAGCTTGGCTGGGTCATGATTCCCAGTGTTGTCTGATTGTGTAATCTGGTGTGATGTCCTTCTGTGTTGTAAACTCTATCACTGTGATGAGATTATATGTGATCTCCTTATGTGTTGTAAATTCTATCACTGTGATGAGGTTATGCTGATTAGGTTTACAAGATTAGATAGTGTCTTAATCCAATCTCTTTTGAGATATAAAAGAAAGAAGTGAACAGAGATACATGGGAACCTCATACTACCAAGAAAGCAGTGTCAGAAGCAGAGCGCATCCTTTGGACCTGAGGTTCCTGCGCTGAGATGCCCCCAGACCGAAGGAAGATTGATGACATGGACCTTCCTCCAGAGCCAACGGAGAAAGCGTCCCCCTGGAACTGACACCCTGAATTTGGACTTGTAGCCTCCTGGACTGTGAGAATGGACTTCTCTTTGTTGAAGCCGTCCACTCGTGGGATTTCTGTTAGTGCAGCGCTAGATGAATGAGACAGGGTATAAACAGGAAGGAGGGCAGGGGCTCTCGCCACACCTGGGCACCAGGGCAGGAGGGTTAAGGGTGCAGTCCTTGGGCCGCTTCTCCCTCTACATCTACCCCCTGCCTCCCTTGGTGACCTCATCCAGGCTTATGGCCTTAAACAGAATCTATATGTGCTGTTAACTTCCAGTCCAGCCCACTCTCCAGAACTCCAGACTCCCATATCCAAGTGCCAACCACACATCTCCACTTGTATATGGAATAGACATCTCAAATTGAACATGTCCAAATATGATCTCTTTTATTCCAGTGTTCAGCCATAACAATAACAGGAGTGAATGTAAGAGCATAATACAATCTACAGGAACCTGAAAAAAATAACCTTTAAATATGCATTTGTTAAAATAAATACTGTGAGTTCAAATGACTGATCTTGTTCATATCCAGGAGAGAATGTTAGAATCACAGCATCTTACTAAAGCAAGAAGGGACTTTGGTGATCATCTTCTCCAACCTCTTCATTTTATAGATAAGCAAAATAGTTTCTGGGATTTTGATTTCTTCCTAGTTTCTATTAAATTTTGACATTATCTTCTTGTCACTGCTTGCAGAAATGATATTATTCAATAAAGTGATATGAAAAGTATGTATTATTCAGTGGGTATCATCACCTCCAAAATTCAGAAATTCTAATCCTAAAAGCTCTCTATATAATCTACTCAAGGCAGTGCCAAGATCATTGCCAGGAGGTACTTCTGAGAGCCAGAAATGGGTTAAGGAATAATGTTTGTGTGTAACTGGGGTGCCCCATCCCTCAGCTGCATATCCCAGGATGCCTACTATTTGGGAAATGTGCTTTCTACTCTGTCGGCTAGACAAAGACCTGATAATCAAAGAGCTACTGACAACATGAAGTTGGGATTAGGCCCAGAGACCCTCCAAAATACATGATACGCCACAGGAACACCAGTGTTTGAGTTGGGGAGAAGTTTTAACACCCAGGTGCATCTGCAGACTCTGCTGCGCTAAGAGCAGGCCCTGAAGTTCACAGACCTATCCAACTACGTTGGTCAATTTGAAGCAATTTTCTCCCCTGCCTTTTTTTCTTCAATGAAAGAGTTTATACAAACTCCTGAAAAATGATCTCCTGTTATTCCATCCACTCTAACGTGTTCTACACCGTCTTCCTCATCTCAGTTGATCACAGCTCCATCCATCCCGTTGCTCAGGCCAAGTTAAGATGGTGTCATCTTAACTCCCAAATCATCAAAATCCTATTGGCTCTACATTCAAAATATATCTAGAATCCAACTAGTTCATATTACCTAGAATACCACCACAACCCTGATCCAAACCGCATCAATTCCTGCATGAGCTATTACAACAGCCTCCTCACTGGTCTCCCTGCTTCTATTCTGTCCCATCCTCCTCAGTCAGAAGAACTGATGCGTTTGAATTACGGTGTTGGTGAAGAATACTGAATATACCATGGACTGCCAGAAGAACAAACACATCTGTCCTGGAAGTACAGCCAGAATGCTCCTTAGAAGCAAAGATGGCGAGACTAGTCTCACATACTTTGGACATGCTATCAGGAGGAATCAGTCCTTGGACAAGGACATCACGCTTGGTAAAGTAGAGGGTCAGTGAAAGAGAGGAAGACCCTCAATGAGATGGACTGACACAGTGGCTGCAGCAAGGGGCTCAAACATAGCAATGGTTGCGAGGATAATGCAGGACTGGGCGATGTTTTGTTCTGTTGTACATAGGGTCGCTATGAGTCGGAACCAACTCAACGGCACCTAACAATTCCTCATCTATTCTCCACACAGCAGCCAAAGGGATTCTTCTTAAAACATAGATCATGCCACTCCTCTGCTCAAAACCCCCTAAAGAGTTGTCAACACTCATCTCTTATTAATTGATAGAACACGTAGACAGAAAATTAGTAAGGATAGAGATGACCTGAAAAACACTATCAACCAAATGGGCTTCAACACTCCACCCAACGAAAGCAGAATCCACATTCTTTTCAAGTGCACATCGTCCATTCCCAATAATCATCACTCAAGACAGCCCATAAAACAAGTCTCAATAAATTTAAAAGGACTGAAATCATACCTAGTATGTTCTATGAACACAATGGAATCTAATGAGAAATCAATTTTTTTAATCTGGAAAAAAATCACAAAAAAATATTAAAATAATCCATGGGTGAAAGGAAAAATCATAAGGGAAATTAGAAAATGTTTTGAGCTAAATGATAAAAAAAAAAAAAAACCCACAGCATAAACAATTTTGGGATACAGCTAAAGCAATGATTAGAGGAAACTTTATAGCTTTAAATGTTTATATTAGAAAGTAACAGGACTTCAAAATCAAAGACCTAAGCTTTCACTTTCAGAAGCTAGAAAAAAGAGCAAATCAATCAAAAGGCACACAGAAGGGAAGAAATATTAAAAAAGAGCAGAAATCAGTGAAATAGATAAAAGGATAACGAGGGGATATTATGAACAACTTTGTGCCAGTAAGTTTGACTTCGATGAAATAGACATATTCCTTGAAAGATACAAATTATTAAAACTGACATAAGAAGAAAAAAGAATATCTGCGGAGGTTTATATCAATTAATAAAAATGAATTCATAATTAAAAGCATCCCCACAAAGAAAACTCCAGGCCAGGTGGTTTGGTTTGCTATTTCTATCAAACACTTAAGGAAGAAATTATGCAGGTCTCACAATTTTTTTTAGAAAATAGAGAAATGGGAATAATATTACTCTGAAATGAAAATCAGACAAAGAGAGATCACCAAAAAGAGAACCACAGACCAAAATCCCTCATGAGAATAGACACATACATCTTTAAGAAAAAAAGTATAAATCAAGTTAAACAATATATTAATAGGTAATAAGTAGGTTTTATCCTAGAAATGCAAGGTTGGTTTAACATACAAAATCAATCAGTGCAATTTCACCATATTAACAGAATAAAAGAGACAATCCATATTATCTCAATAGATGCAAAAAAAAGCACATCTGACACAATTCAAAACCAGTTCATGATTAAAAAAAAAAACTCAGCAAATTAGGAAAAGAAGGGAACTTCCTCAACCTGACAAAGGGTTTCTATGCAAACCTATAACCAACATCATACTTAATGTTGAACAGAATGCTTTCCCTGTGAGATCAGAAACAAGGTATGTATATCCACCTCAGCACTTCTCTTCAACAGTGAACCTGTCACTGAATATCACTGAATAGCTACTGAAATCAGACAAGAAATAAAAAGACAGATACAGGAAATGAAGAATTAAAATTGCTTCAGTTAAGACAACATCATCATACACATAAAAAAACCTAATGAATCTATGAAAAATCACTAAAACTAATAAGGGAGTTTAGTACAATCTCAAAATACAAAGTCAATTAAAAAGTTCATCGTACATATACTAGCAAGGATCAACTGGATCATATTTTTAATACCATTTACAATAGCAGCAAAAACTTAAATACTTCGGAATAAATTTAAGCAAATTTGTTCAAGACACTGTACATGGAAACTATGAAACACTGATGAGAGAGACGCTGAAGAGAACCTAACAGATGCAGACGCAGACCGTGTTCATCAATGAACATGACCGGAACGCTCGACACTGCTAAGATGTCAGCTCTTCCCACGCTGATTTACAGATTCAATCAAAACTCCAGCAGGCATTTTGTAGAAACTGACTAGCTGACTCTAAAATTCATATGGAAATACATAAAACCTGCAATAGCCAAAATAATGTTGAATAAGAACAAAATTAAAGGACTAATGTGGCCCGATTTCAAGACTTACTATGAATCTACAGTACTAATAAAGACGCTGTGGAAGTGGTGTGAGAGTAGACATACAGATCCACGTAACAGCACTGCAAGTCCAGAAGTAGACCCACTCATACATTTTCCACTGACGTTCGACAACGTTGCCACTGACCTCCTGCCGTACACAAAGATTACGTTCAAATGGTTGTAGACCTATATGTAAGAGCTAAAACTATAAACTTTTAAGAAATCATAGCAGAAAAATCTTTGTGACCTTTGGGTAGGCAAAGATTTCACATAGGGGATACAGTACATGAACCACAAAAAGAAAAAAAAAAACAGTAAAATGGACCTGGCCAATTTAAAAAGTGTAAGTCAGATCATATCACCATGCCGCTCACAACTGCATTAGCTTCCTATGACGGCCATAACAAAGCACCACATACTTGCACAGCGTAAAACAACAGAACTCTCTTCTCCCACCGTTCTGGAGGCCAGAAGTCCGAAATCAAGGTGTTGGCAGGGCTGGTTCCTTCTGGAGGCTCTGAGAGACAATCTGCCAGCCCTAGCCAAGATCAACCCTATAGGTCTACAGACCCCAAGCCCCTGCTGTCCGTATGAGCACTCTGACCGAGACTCCCCACCTCACTGCTGAGCAAGACGACCTAGACAAGCCCTCTCCACTTCCCCTCTCCTCTGGGGGTTCCCTTACCCTCTTCCCCTTCTTGTGCCCCTCCTCCCCACCACCACTAGCCTTTGGTGGCACTGCCCCCCACCGCGTGCAAACCGGTCCGTGTCAGCCCTACGTTTGTGGTGCAACAGTGCCATCTCGTGGCCATATGTTTTGCTTTGCTCAGCCCCAAGCTCCCCGGAACCGTGCTAAACTGAAGGGAGGAGACTTGTTTCTTTTGTTTCTCAAACCCATTTACTGAACGCTGGCGACGTGCCAGGCACACCTCACAGGCACCTCTCGTAGATGAACAAAAGGTAGATGTCCCCGGTTTACCAATGAGGAAAATGAGACCCGGAAAGGTAAAGTCACCTCCGGCCCTTCCAGTCCCCTCCCCACAGGATTTCCCACGGCACTCTGTGCCCTTTGGCAAAGCTATGCTGGAGGAACCCGTCAGCAGTCCTTCCCTTTCCACCTGGTCCTCAGCCAGAAAAGCCAGCGCAGACGTCGCCCTGCCGGCGTGTCAGTGGTCTGCCGATATCTAAAGGCCTCCTGTTGAGAATGCAGGGTGGTGCTGCAGGCGCACTTTTTTATGTAAAAGAAAAAAGCCTCATTGCTGTGTTTCAGGCCTCCTGTCCGACAGGGTTACGCACGGGAAGCGTCTGGCCAGTCCCTCGTGCTATTCTCTGACATACAGTGGTATCAACACTGAACTCTTTCCCAGCGACTGGCACAGATGAAACCTCAGAGCCGCTTTACCACCAGGCAGACCCTGCAGTAACAGATTTTGTCTATGTGTAAAAGACATGCGAATTACAGGCACTTAGAAAATACATAAACACGTAAGGAAAACTTTAAATTACTGGTACTCCCACCACCACACGCATCCAAATGTTAGCAGTGTACGTTCATACAGCTTTCACTTTTCTACATAGCTAGGTATATACAAAATTGGGGTCAGACTTTACACACAGTTTTCACTCAACATACTGCAAAGCGTGTGCCCGGGTAACGAGACGCTCACAATGGTGGCTGCTCCAAATAATGGTGTGGCGAGCACCTCCAAGTCATCGTGTGTATCCGACTGTCTCTCGGCGTTGAGAGGACTGAGGACGCTTTCTGAGTCTCTTGCTCCACGTGGCCAAACCCGCCTCCACTGAAGGGGGACACAGCAAGGTCCATCCCCTGCACCTTGTTCTTGATGTGTTGCTATTTTAACATTGCTTTTTACTTCCTGTGTGGGTTTGCATTGTTTTAGCTCCTCGTGAGAGTGACATGCTTTCTTGTGCTTACTGGTCATTTGGATTTCTCTTGTGCCTCGAACAGCAGGGAGGTGCCGCAGACAAGTGGGGTGCATGTGTAAGCCAAGGGAGCCACAGAGGTTTCAGGTGGGGTGTGCTTGATCTCTCTACCTCCCAAACCCTGGTCATGAAGATCAGGGGTCACAACTAGTAAGGCAGGTGCGCTGGGTCCCCTCATGGGAGGAATCCAACCAGTTGTTCTGGAAACTCAACCTAAGTAAAGCAGGAAAGGAAGAAACCAGACCCCTCCTTCCGGGCTAATGGAAAAGTTTAAAATCCTTACCATCTAGTCTATGGTGAACCCTACACAGAGATCATCCAGAGGGCAACAGAAGGAAGGGGGTGGGCAGCAGAGCCTCCTGGAAGGGAACGTTCAAAAGAGCAGCGGTGCTCAACCAAGGCCTGGTCCCGCCTGCCCCAGAGTTTCCAACTCAACTGGTCTAGGGGAAGGGGACAGGCCCCGGTGTTTTGTGAATGTTCCCTGGATGATTCTAACGTGCGGCCCACAACGGGTTAACGCCCATGGCTTTGACATCCTAGGAAATGCTCCTAACTCTGCCTTTGCTGTTCACCATCTGACAACCGTTGCCAAATGGCTTCCACTCCAAGGCCAGGACATTCGCAGCTGGTGCAAGGAGCAGCATCCCAAGCTTCCAGGACCTGAGGCAGCACAGCCAGCATGGCTCACACGGGGCAGCAACCCTCTTGGACGGGCCCAAGATAAGGCCACACTCGGATGTCAGAAAAAGGAAAACGAGAAAGCTACGTGTGTGAAGCTTCCTTCCGTCGGACCGTGACGCCGTCACAACTCAGAATCCAAAGCGATGAAAACAAATGACTGCTATGTGGGGTGACATACGAACAAAAGACACTAGTAGCAAAATCAAAACCGGGAAAAGACATTTGCAACTTCCGTCACAAGCAAAAGCTAATCCCGCTACTAAACAAACAGCTCCTAAAACACAAGGAACAAAAGCCGGGAACAGGCCCTTAAACCTCCGAAAAGATGCTCAAGCTCACTAGTAACTCGAGAACAGCACACCTAGCGGATGGGAAAAACCCAAAGAAGTGACCACACACCCCCTCTTGGCAAGGCTGTGGAAAAACAGGTCCTCGCCTGCTCGAGCACCACCTACCGCCTTCACCGAAGCTGGCAGCCCTCTTCTAAGAGGCAATCCCAAAGGCACAGGATTTTCACTGGGGCACGATTTCTGGCAACCAAAAGGCTGGAAACAGCCCAAAGGTGCACGAATAACAGACTGGTTAAATACCCCACGGTGGGGCCACAAGACAGAACACTGTGCACCAAACACGAGAATGAGCACGGCTGTGATACCCCTGGAGTTTAAGGCAAGGTGAGTTAGCTGGCTGGTGGGAGGAAGAGCCTTAATTCCTGATGTCCCTGGCGGCGGGGGGCGGGGGTGGAGTGGAAGAAGAGGGATTAGCCCCAGTGGCAAGCGGTTCAAGCAGACAGGATGGAACACGAAGGGCAGCGCATCAGGCCTACCCCGGGCGTGATGTGCCCTAAAGGGGGAAAAACAGCAGCAATCCCCGAAGAGCTGCAGCAGAAGCTGGCTCTCGGGGCTTGAAGCAACAGCCCACTCTGTGCACTAGCCCTTCATTCCGGAGCAGGCAGGTGGAAGAGGAAAGCACGGATTACACTGTCCTGGTCTGGTCACCCACAGGTGGCCCTGTGTTCACCAGCCCTACTCGATGCACTCCATGACGTGTATCTGCAGGGTATCGATATCCGGAGCCTGGTACTGGCACTTGGGACAACAGAAATCAGGTGGCTCTTCGGGGGGGCTCCTCCTCTGGCTGAGCAGGGCCAGGTGAAAGGAGTGATGAGCTGGGAAAGGAAAACAGGCGTCTGTTGTCAGAGGCGTCCTGTACCTGCTGGGGGGTGCAAGTCAGACGGAAGGGAAGGCCAGGAAAAGTACTGATTCGGGACCACGATATTCGACTTAGGGTCACCACGCACGTGTACCCAGCAGCTACCACTACATCCCTCTGTATAGCCTCACAGGGGCAGGGGGCTACTGACGGAGAGGGGCTGGCCCATAGAAGCTGCAAACTGTCAAGTCTCAGCCGCACTCCGCCAGCATCCCAGCTGTCTTCACCAGGAGAAAATCCAGAGACTGAGCGATTGTATGTCCTCCGTCCCGGAATCCTTCTCCCAGCGACCTGCCCTCCCCACCTCCTCCTCCTCCTGCAGGCCCAGTGCTGGAGGCTCACAAGTCACTCAGTCACTCACCTGGGGCAGGGGGCAAAGGCGGCTGGGAGCCCTCGACGTGCCGCTTCCGCATATCCTCAATCAGAGCCCTTGGGAAACAGACACACGCCCATCAGCACCTGGGCATAAAGCTCTCAGCCAAACTAACTTAAAAAGCTGTTGGAACAATGGGGGAAGGGGGCAGGGGAGGGGGTGCTGGCCCATCCTAACCTAGAAAGCAAAGAGGAATTCATCTCCCAAAGTGAATACTGGCGGCCCCAAATATCAGCCTCCCCACGCAGAGGGGGCCCACCTGGCTGACTCCTGTGAGCTGATCTTCAGCTTGCTGTACTCCCTCTGCAGCTGCTCCAGCTGCTCCTGCAGCAGCTCCTTCTTCTCGGCCAGCTTCTCCCGGGCCTGCCTCTCAGCCTGAAAGTCCGCTTTATAGATATCCGCCTGGTAAACCCAAGAGAGAGGAGCTGCCCAGCACAGCCGTCAAGCCCTCTGGGCCAGACGCAGGGAGCAGAGACCCACGCCTGCCTTCCCAGAGGTCACGGGTAATCTCAAGTGCGCTGAGGGTTCAAGGACCAGGGGAGCTGATGCAAGGCCACTACAAAGGATGATGTCAACTGCATAGAGCCCGAAGTGTGTCAGTGGTTACGTGGGTGGGAGAAACGGGGAGGGACTGCTTAAGGGGCACTGAGTTTCTGTTAAGGATGATGAAAAAAAAAAACACTTGTCAATTTCCCAGCGCGGTAAACGTAACGTTACTGAATTGTACGTGGAAAACCAGTTTGCAAGGGAAAAATGGAAGACTACGCAAAAAACATGACTATTCTACACTCGTGTAAGATTCTATGTATATCTATGCATAACTAATGCTTTTCAATAAATTCCTTAAAGACAGAAACGCCAAGTTCCAGTGCCAGGGTGGGCCCGGGCTCCCCAACCCCCATTCCCGTGCAGCCCACCCAAGAGAGCTGTCACCTGGGCCCTAAGCACCGGGACGGTCTCCATCACTGTCTTGTGCTGCTCCGCCTCCTCCTTCAGCTTGTCGATCAGCTCCTGCTTGGCCACCAGGGCCTCCTCGGCCTGCTGCAGCTGCTGCTTCAGATCTTCCAGCTGGATGCCCTAGAGGCAGGCGAGGGGGAGCTGATGGCAGACAGCCTCCCAGCAGGCCGCTCTTCTGGGTGAGAAGAACCAGAGGAGCAGAAGGGTGGCCCCGGGCAAGACCAGTTGGGGTAATGCCAGTTTCGGCCCAAGGGCTGATCCCAAGCTGGAAATGTGTACCAGGGAGAATGCTGTGGCCCGCCAAAGCCCCAGAGGGCAGAAGAAAAGTTGAGATTTTCCTCATGACTTATTAGAACCTCGGTTGGGAGGGGCCCTCTGAAGTCATCTGGCATAACCCCCACTGGGCAGACATTCTCTTTCCAGAATCCAAAGCTGGACAGCCCTCCTGAAAGCCTTCAGGGGACTAGGGCCACACTCCCTCCTAAGGCCACCCCCTCTGAGGTAATTACACAGAGCCCTGCCTGCCAGGTGCATGCCATCGACTCAGCCATCCTGACCATCATCCCACACAGATGCCCCCACCTCTATCAAGTCTTCTCTGAGGAAACTAAACGGCTACAGTTTTGTAACTCTTCCTCATATGGTCTGCTTTTCAGGCTGTATCCTTCTAAGTCTCTGCCCAGTATCTTCCAGTTGGACAGCATCCTTCAAAAGACGTGATCCCTAAAAACCACACCCAATCTAGGAAAGGTCTGAGCAGGGCTCCGGGAAAAGCCTGCCAGGAGCCTAGCAGATAATTGTTGATGGGAGGACATGGATACGGAGACCAGCATCCTCCCGCCCCGCGGGGAGAGCCCGGCCAAGCTGAAACAGCCTGCAGCATCCTCTGGACCAGGCCTTCCCTGGGCCGTCAGAGCTGCAGCCTTCACAAAACTCTAGGATAAAGTCGAGTATCCCCCTCCAAAGCTAATTCTCTCAAGTCTGAAGGTAGGGTCTTGCATTCCAATATCCTAGAATCTGGGGGATTAGGCCCCATGCTGTTCTCCTTTCCTGGGGCAGCAGAGAAAGGGTCGAGGGTAAGGTTTAGTCCCAGACAGTCCCAGGGACGTTACTGCTGGGGACTCTGGGACAACAGCCAGCCAGGCATTGGCCTCCAGCCCATACTCACTCGGTTTCGCTCACTGCTGGCCATGCTGCTCTTGATGTGATTGTCATAGTCTTGGAAGAGCTGGTGATAAGCCACTTGTAACTGGGCCAGCTTCCGCCTAAGAGAAATGAGCTTTCAATTGAGACACAACTCTTCCTGGTCCCACCTCAGCTTTTCCTGTTGAAAACTCAACCCTCTTCCTTCTTGTCACAGACGCATGCCTTGTATGGGGGCTTGTACTCTTAAGGCCATCAAATTTGAGGCAGGGTCTGCTGATTGCAAGTATTACTGCAACTAAATTGATTGCTATATACTCGATATTTTTTTCCTTAAGAAACCTAACATTTTTAAAAGGGAAAAAAGAAAGTCTTATAGGGAACCAGAACTGCCCTATGCTCTTCAAAAATGCCAACTTCTTGAGAACAAAGAAAGCCAGAAGGTCTGTTCTAGTTTAAAGTAGACTAAAAAGGTGGGCAAATCTAAGACACATCTACTGGTCCCATCCCAGCTGGAGCAAGGGAGAATGAAGAA